GTACAATACGGGAAAAAATACTGACCGTCGTAAACGCATACAGCCTTTGTGGATATTATGTCATCTCTCCGTGCATTATCGTCATTACAGCCTACTTCCGTATTTAGCCGGCATTTTTGCACTAGTACCTCGCTATTACTTTGTTTGATTCTACTGAATTAACTGAAGTGACCTGTAGCCATGGCCATTAACAACAAGTTGTGCCCCAAAAGCTCTTTCATGTTGACTGAAGTCCCGCGGGGCGAGTGATGTCAAATAACTTAACCATCCGCCGGAAGCTATGATGAGCTCACAACGAAAAACGTTTCGGATCTTTTTCGGTTTCTCCCTTTCTGTATCAACCAGTCAAAATGCTCTATGGTAAAAGGGTGCGGCGAAAAGCAATACATAAGAGAGACAGGTTTCGAATTCAATATCTTTTTAATTTCATAACGAGAAAATGACAAGAGAAATATTGAGGCGTCATATAAGCTGCTCAACGCTGACTGTGCATACCTCTGATATTGTTCAGTAGGGAATTTTTACTTTTATGCAATCTATTCAATCATTCCGCGATGTGTTATCGCTCATTAGTCAGAATATTATTTATTTTATTTATTCATGATCAGATTCCTCAACGAGAAACAAAGAACCTGTTTTATCTGTATTTGTGGCTGAAATGGTAGTGAAACACAACTAGTCGAACTTCATAGAAAGCTTAAGCATGATTTAATTTTATAAGCTCCGTTTCCACGTTTTCTTTCAATCCGCCTAATCTAAGAGGTCATTTCGTCCCCTAGGGCTTTTGTTTTTCTTTTAATAGGAAACTAATCTATTTAAAAAGTCATAATGAAAGCATTTAAATCTTGTTTAGGGTGTCCTGTAGAACTGGTAAACTTGTGACCCTCCCCTAAGATATATAAATAATTTTTAAAAGTAATTTATAAATATTTAAAGGTAAAAGCAGTTAAAAATGGTAAAAACTGAAAAAAAAACAGTAAATGTAATATTGAATGTAATACTAAAAAAGGAGTCAGACGATATTAAAAAAATTATGAAATAGGAAAGCTATCTAAGCCAGCATAACCTTCCTTTCTAAAATTACAATACTTCTGAACTAAATGTGTTAATACTGGTGCATAATTTAACTTCCCTTTTAGATTATCCCGTAACAAATAGTTCAGTAAGGAATTTCCTTTCAAGATCATCCCGAGACTGGAGACTCAAGTACCTCAATTTGAAAAGAAAAACAGTTTAAAGAGGAAAATTAAAATGAGTGTTATGATGCGAACTGCTCGATGCTGACTCAGCATACTTCGCATATTGTAAAAAGCTCTTCTTCGTGTCTCTTTTTCTCATCAAAATAAGTGGAGCCAAAGTCAAAACATCTCGAATCGTAGTTGATTAAGGTGTCCTATCGACTAGCCTGCGCTCAACTAATAATATTTTTCACGATCATTAAAATCGCCAGTTAAAGAGTGTGTCTTTTAACTAAATGAGTACCTGCAGCATAGTTTTAATGTTTTGCTGTAAATAAAGAGAAGTTATATTTCATATGATTATACCCCACCGAAGAGTAAACAGAATATTGGCTGCACCCGGTCCTGTTTGTCAACTTGTGTTTAAGTTGTTTTGAAATCCCGCCTCAGGGTGACCTCAAGGATGTTCATTGTGTTTTTCATCGTTATCAATATCATTGCCCAAATAAATCAACAATAAATGTGATTTTCCGTTGTAAGGTTAAGGAAGTTTATCACGGTATTTGTTTCTCTATGGAAGACTTTAAATCATAAATTCTCGATGGGTGACTGTTGAATCATAAGTCATTGCAAAAATACATTACTAGAGAGAAAATGGCATGCAATTTCATGGAATTGGCAGCTGAGATGACAATGACATACATGTATGATTCATAACATTTTTTGAGTGAAGGATATTTGAATTCGAACGAAACTGCGTCAAAATAACCGCCAAACGTACTTTTCGATGTGTACAGGCAAGATGGAAATGCTGCTTAATGAAGCTTCACTAAAGACTTGGGTCAAGGCGAAATTGTCAAAAGCACGCGATGTATACTTTGATCTGATATCGTCATTGTTCTTGCATTATTAGCATATGTACATATAAAAGTGTATAATTAAAGCAAGCCCTGATTTTTTGCCAATTGGGAAAATTTTGAACTGCAAAGCTAGCAAAACTGCTGACAATTTACGATGCTATAAGTACCTTCAATTTGCGGCTACTTTTGATCAATCATTATTTTCA